AGAGAGAGAGAGAGAGAGAGAGAGAGAGAGAGAGAGAGAGAGAGAGAGAGAGAGAGAGAGAGGGTAGGAGGGAGTGCCGTAGCGTGCCGTAGAGAGAGAGAGCGGTAGGGTAGGAGGGAGTGCCGTCGTGTGCCGTCGTGTGCCGTCGTGTGCCGTAGCGCGCCGTCGTGTGCCGTCGCGTGCCGTCTCGTGCCGTTGCGTGCCGTAGCGCCCAATACGATTGAGAAGCCCGACCCTTCGAATGGCGGGCACATATACAGCCCTTCGAAGGGCGATTTCAGGGCTGGGCGCGGGTGCATGTTCAGAAGGGCAGTTTGAGCGGGCCAAACCAGTATCGCACGGCCCAGATTGCGGGCCGGTCACCACCTGTGGACAGGCCAGATTGAAGGCCGATGAGAAAAGTTTATCATCAGCCTGCGATCTTGGCCGTACGCAGGTGGTGACGGGCCTGCAACCTGGGCCGTGCGATATGACGTTAGCGGTTCTTATAGTATTGTAGATTCAGAAAGACAAACTTCTGCATGTCTTTCATACAATTCATTTGCCGGCAGTTTCTCTGTTGGATATCCCCATGCTGTGATTTCTTCTTCCACCGTCTTTGCTCTTTGACCTTTTGAATGGTGGTCCCCTCGGACGCCTACGACACAGCATTGATTGCTTCCTTTCAAAGGATGTGCTGCTGCTCCACCCCTGATTCTTTGAATAACCTTTTCTGGCTCCAAAATTGGGAGTCAGGGCGATTCCAAGGATTCCGTCTCCGTTCCACCTGTCCTCGAGATCGGACATGAAAATGTGAAAACGAGGACAAATCCTTGGGCTCCGAGGATTTCCCAGCGAAATCGTCCTCGGCTCCACCTTGCGAGGTCACTTGGAGCCCGAGGATCTGTGTTTCAGGGAGAGGACAGGGCGTGCGCATAGAGAGACGTTACAGCCGAAAATCCAGATGGTGGCGGCACCCTATTGGCTGAAAGCCTGCGAGGTCACTTGGAGCCCGAGGATTCGTGTTTCAGGGAGAGGACAGCGCATGCATGTAGAGAGACGTTACAGCAGAGAATCCGGATAATGGCGGCACCCTATTGGCTGAAAGCCTGAAGCACAAGTGTTTTTCTTTTTTTTAATTCTTCGTATCGCTCCCAGGATGAGTCCTAAAGCCAACGCTCTGAGGATGAGTCTAACGAATACGACAAAAACCCTAAACTTTTCTGAGGAATCCTCCTCAGAGCCCGAGGACACCCCGAGGAGTGTCTACCAACACCCTAAGCCTACTCCTTTATTGACTACGCTTCCTTCAACCTTTCGAGAATTCTTCATTTGCAAGTTAAGATGAACCTTCGGGAAGAACCTCATGAGATGAATGGAAACCAAGAAATAGGCAGTTGTTCGTGCACCTACAGATGGAACCAAGCAGGCAATTAATATCCACGTACCAGCTCTAATTGAGATAATTTGCGGAAGTCACGGCCAAGAGTGATCCTCTTGTTCATGTCCTGCACGCAGACCAAGCACAATGGTAGCACCATGAATATGCAAAAAGATGAGTCAAATCGGTGTTAGGAATCAAAACCAGAACCAGCTACGTTGACAGTAATTATGTCACACAGTTAACAACTCTAGAGTACATACATTTCCAGTACATGGCACATCATATCCATGAAGGATACACAAATTAGGGGGAGTGGACTGGAGTTAACCATGCAAAATCAGAAGGTTGGGAAATCTTTTGAGACCACCCACTTTTACGGTGTGAGAAGACAGACTCTTCAACCCATAACTGTTATCCACCCGGGACTTCCTACCACGATCTACTTAACAAGCCCGCCTAGACCTCTGCAATCATGGTACAAACAAAAACTACTCCAGAGTATTCGAGAACATTGTAAAAGTGACTGGAACAACTAATGGTACACGGAATTGAGACTTTGGGATTAGGACCCGGGGCTCGGAACTGGGATCTGGGACCTGGGACCAGGACTGTCATACATGTGCAGCGTGGTGCCTTCTAACGACAGACTCTTCAACCCATAACTGCTAATAGTCTGTTATCTACCAGGGACTTCCTACCACGATCTACTTAACAAGCCCACCTAGACCTCAGCAATAGTGTTACAAACGAAAACTAATCTCTGGAGCATTTGTGAACACTTTACAAGTGGCTGTAACCACAAATGGAACACAGAATGGGACTTTGGGATTAGAACCAAAGGTTCTAGACTGGGACCTCGGAGTCAGTATGAAGTCCTTTCACTAATGTGCATACGAATACATCATTCAGCTCCAGAGACGAATTCCCGAGCCATTAACAACTATCACAGAGAAATGGGAACCTCACTGAGGAGCTATGCGGATCGGACACCTAGGTTTTTGGGACTGGCCTGGTTCTGATCTGCTAGGACCTTTTCACTCTGTCACCATCTGGGTCAAGCCCCTTCCCCCCATATGGAGCCTCCTGAACCAGCAGCCATTACAGAAGGCTGACAACGGGAAGCGAAGGCACCTTGTGGACCTATTTTCTGAGCTGACAGCCCTGGGATACATGCAACAGACAGCTTACCCGTGGATGTGAGAGCAAGGTGATGGTCACCGATTTTGGGCTTCCTCACCTGCCCAATGTGCTAGGAACGAGATGGATTCATGCTTACCTCCCTCCTAGTTTCCAACTCAGCCAGGCGTATGTAGAGCTCCACCATTGTTTTCATCTGTTCAAAAGAAAAACACTGTGCATAAGAACAACATCCCTATCACTTCTTCATAATTCATGCAATTGCTACTACTCTATCAGAACTCTGAAAGAGCTAGATGACATGTTCCTGCTTCACCTGCAGAAGAGGAACAGACTGACAGAAAGCAAAAGGATACTTTTATAAAAAGTTGTTCACACAACACTAACTGCAGGAAAACGACAAAAGGACAACTCTCTTTCTCTCTCTCTCTCTCTCTCTCTCTCTCTCTCTCTCTCTCTCTCTCTCTCTCTCTCTCTCCTCTTGCCATCTCCCCCCCCCCCCCCCCCAAAAAAAAAGAAAAGGTCAGAAAGAAGTCTAGCCTTCTGCTCCTCCTTACTGCCAAACCTACCCCAGGCCACATGGATAGATGACATGAAAACGAACCTGCTTCAGAACTGGCTGAACTGTCCTTGGAAGGCTTCTGAGAACATCCTCTGCTGCTTGCTTCTTGTCTAGATCAACGACAAAAAGCTGCTTGCTTCTCTGCTTATCCTTCACACGATCACCATGGGCAAGTGCAAGCAACTACATCCAAAGCAACTCCCAACCATGTCAGAATAACTATGACCCTAACGCACACACTAACAAGATGCATGAAGTCACAGCTTCTTGTCACATCCTGACCTGATCAATCCCATGCATGGCTGTGTCGGCAACCAGCCGATTGGACTGGGCCCGATCTAACCGGGCTGGTTGGACCCCCGGTGGTCCAACCGGAATTCCGGTTGGGCCCAAGAGTGGGTAGGGGAAAAAACAAAAAAAATTGAAAACATGGTTGGACTGCGCTCGCCGAGATCTCCCCGAATCCGCAAAGATAACTTTGAACACAGAAGTTTCGTTTGGGGGGTTGGGGGGGAGGGGGGCGGGTAGGTATTTCAGGGGTTCAGGGTCAGGGGTTGGGGGGTTTATGGTGAGGGTGTTGGTGGAGGGGTTTCGGCAACCACAGGCTTCAGCAGACATTGACAACAACGTACCTGGCTTTCTGCAAATGTTAACGAGGGCTGGAGGTGTTACTGGCAGGCTAGGGACAGTACTTCCCACCCAAAAACTTTGAAAAGGAGGGTGGGGGTGATAGTGTTAGGGGGTGCTTGTCACTGCTGTCTGGTCCAAGTTGCCCTCGATACTGGTAGGGTGATGGTCCTGAGTGCTGGTCACACTGAGGTAGGATAGTGGGGATAGGGGGTGCGCTGGGAGCATTAACGTGGGGAAGGGTAGGGAAGGTGGCCTGTCCTGTCAGCACAACCACCGGCTGCTGCTGCCAGCAATCACCGGGGATCTAGTCCTTGGCCTCTACAACACCCCGAGCCTTAAAAAATAAAAAAAATAATAATAAAAATAAAAAAATAAAAAAAATAAATGATGCGCTGCGGCCAACCGGGGGGGAACCGGCCCGGTCGACCGGCCGGTAGGACCGGTCCGGTTCCGGTTGGGGGAGGGCCCCCCGTCCTACTGGGTTTGCAGCCTTGATCCCAAGGCATAAGGTCTGCATCGAGGTCCCAGTGGAATAGCTGCAGTTATTTGTACGAAGCAGCCTCAGAAAACGTCTATGGAAACATCGGAGAGTAATCGTCTGCCACAACCACACGCATGCAAAAGGAATGGGGATGGAAAGTAAGAGCACAATAGAGACTTATTTTGAAGTTTCCTCCCAACAACCCAGACCACCCACCTGCAAAAGTAAAGGGGCAATAGAAAAGAGCACAATAGAGAGTTATTTTGAAGTTCCCTCTCACCAACCCAGACAATAAAACGGATGCAATGCCCACATTAAGGTTGTTATGGGAACAGCATTGGAATTGTAATGAAAACTTCTTGGATTAGCGTGTGTGTAATGTGCCGTGTATCAAAATTTAAAACTTGCCAACAAATCTTGGACCTTGGAAGTACATGTAGGACTTAGGACTCAATCAAAACAAATAAAAAATTTGAATTTTCCTCTTTATATGCAGAAAAGAAAAGGGCAAGAGAACAAGGCATCAAAGACAAAGATATAACAAAGGCTGACTCCAAAGAAGCACTACAGGACCTGAGACCAAAGAAATGGAGGACCACCACGAACCAAACAGAAAAAGCAAGTGGCATTCACCAGTCAGCAACGGAACCCACAGAAAAATCGGCCAGATCTGAGATTGAGCAGGAGATCGCAGTGGTGGAAGCACAAGCACAGGCTGAGAAGCTGAAGAAGTTGAGCTCAGCCTACGAATCAGACTTTTTCTCATTCAGACACATAGCAGATGGCAAGGTTCCCGAGGTTCTGGGCCAAGCGATGTCTGCAAGGCTGACTCTTATGGGGACTAGACCACTTTTGGCTGCACGCTACATGGAGGAAAAGAAGGAATGGCAAGTGGCCACATACGTGTCCTTTGCAATCCCCAGGATCGACGAAGGCCAGAATGTGGCCACCATCCTGCAGGAGAAGATCACAACATTCTACCATTTGGGAGTGTTTGAGACAGACTCCTTGGCGACCCAGCAGGATGATAGACTGCAAGAGGCTCTACAGGGGGAGCGGAAAGTTGCACCGGACCAGACGGACCCCAAAGACACCCCGATGGATCAGATCAACCAACCGGAGCTTGGAAATCTCAGATCCTTCACCCCCCTCATCGCTAAGATGCCTGAGGACACTAAGCTAAAGGAAGGAATGAGGAGGCGGCCATGGAACACGGTGACGGCTATCCACTACAGCGTGCTGACAGGGATAGGCCTCCCCGCTGAGCTGCAGGCTGCCTCCCTGGCAGGGCTGATTACCAAGGGAATTTTCGAAGGAGACGGCGACTTCGATTCCAAGGCATATCCAATAGATATGGAGAGAGACTACCATGATGAATGCTCTGAAGAAGAAATGGAGGAGGATGAGGAGGACTGGACAACCGAAAAGGATGAGGGAGATTCTGAGGCACCCCTGACAAAAGAGGGGAGTAGCAGCATAGGGGAGTATAGGTTGGATGTATCCCTATCAAAGACTCAGTCAGACCCGCCGGGAGAGTCCGCTGATTCTATGGAGACTGGAGGGTCAGGCGCCTCTTAGGCCTAGCTGCATGCTTCCTTATAGACTCATCTGACAGTCTAGCTCATGGACGTGCTGAGAAGAGAAGCCAACGAGAAGGGATCAAAGGTGAACTGGAAAAATCAAGGCTTCATTATCTGGAGCTGGAACGTTAATGGCTTGAGAAACATAATCTTAAAGGACGATAAACTAAATGACATAATTACAGGTTTGAGGGGTTACAGACTTACAGTGGGAAAGCAGCAGACATAATCCTCTTGCAAGAAACACACCTAACTAGTTCAGAATATCATAATAAAATCAGGAAATTCTTCACAAGAAAACTAGGAGGAATTAAGGACGAAATTTGGGCCTCAGACAACAACTCTAGCACAAAAGGCATGACTATCCTAATACCCAAATCCTCACGCTTCTTCACAGCAGGCACAGTTCAAGGAATGGATGCAGACAATGAAACAGGGAGATGGTGCATGATGGACCTTAAATGGAAAGAAGAGGAAGTCAGAATCATCAACGTCTATGCACCCAATAACCCATCAGATAGATCGAAATTTATGTCCACGCTGGGAAGTCTGGTAACACCTTTCTCACCTTGCATCGTAGCAGGAGACTGGAACGCAGCTCTGGACCCGACTTACGACAAAATATCTCGAGCAACCATGGCCCAAGCTTCACAAGAAGCGGTTCCAATCCTTAAGCTGATGATGGATCACAATCTGGCGGACCTTTTCCGTATGCTACACCCGGAAAGAAAAGCATTCTCGCTGGTAAAAAAAAACCGCGCTCATCACACAGCTTTCTCCCGCATTGACTACTTCCTTGTCTCAGAATCTCTAATGGGAACCATCAAGGAGGCTGACATTCTGGCCCTGTCCGCATATTCCGGATTAGATCACAAACCGATAAAGATAATTCTCAGCTATGAGCAATACATTATGATAAGAGCCAGCTTTCACAAGTTGAACAAACTCCCTCCTTCCCAGTCAGGTCTTCCGGGAGAGTATACACGAATGTTGGCAAAACTCGAGGAGCACATTCTTAGAAGGACATGAGAAATGGGAATGGTTCCAAAAGAGTTACCTCTCACTGTCTCAAACAGTGGCTCGACTATCCCGAAAACTGGCCAATGACCGAAGACAAAGAAAACGGGCTCCGGAGATAGCACTAAAGATTGTAGAGAACAATTTGACAATGGACCCTTCCTCAATCCTATATTCAACAACCTTCGAACGGGCAAGGGATGAACTGGCGGTATGGAGACAATGGGAATTGAAAGGCCTACAACTCAGAGCAAGAATGACGGAATACGAGTTAAACGAATCAATGACTAAACATTTTTCCTCGAGAATAAAAGCCAACAGCAGAGCGAGCTTGATTGAAGGGCTAAAGGAATTGTCAGGCGAACAAGCCATAAGGACAGACAGTGAAGGGATGCTGGAAATAGCTAGAGGTTTCTATCAAGAACTGTATCAGACTAAAACTGCCTCACCCGCCTCTCTAGCCACGACAAAAGCGAGAACCAAAATGCTACAGTACCTAGACAAGACAATCTCAGTGGAACAGGTGGCAGCGCTAGACAAACCTATTACACTAGAGGAATTGAAATTTGCTGTCCACCTAGGCTACCAACCGGGGGGCCCGGCTGCCCCCTCCCTCGCCCGGTACCCGCTCGGAACGCCCGGCCGGAACCCCGGGCCCTCCAGCACAAAATCAAGTGCGGTGTTATTTTCGCCCGGTAAAGCCCCAGGGGGACCGAGGCGGGCCCGGATTGTAAGGAGGCGCCAAAAAAAAAAATCGGGCCCAAGGAACCCCCTTTTTTTTTCCGCTTCGAACGTCCACCGTTGATCAGACGATCAACGGCCTGGGCCCGAACACAGTTTGAATTTGAATCCCATCCCCGCGGTTCGAATTCAATGTCGCGCTCAGGCGGCAACACTACGGGCTCAGGGCGTCTGCCTGTCATGTAGCTGCCACTCATTTGAACGTCGCACCTCGTCATCGTGGCCTCCCGCTGCGCCACCGCTTCTCCTCGTCGTGGTCTCCATCGCGAGAAGGTGAGCCCCTCCTCCCTCGTCGACCATCTCCTCCTCCTCCTCCATCGACCATCTCCTTCTCCTGCTCCTCCTCCTCCTCCTCCGTTGACCATCTCCTTCTCCTTCTCCTCCTCCTCCTTCAGAGGAGGTGAACCTCTTTCTTCCTTCTCCTCCTCGTCGTCCTCCTTTCTTTCTTCTTCTCTTGTTCTCCTCCTCCACCTTTCTTCGTTGTTGTTGTTGTTGTTGTTGTTGTTGTTTTCACGTTCCCAACTTCGGGTTTGTGTTTGCCGCTGTAGTGGGAGGGTGATGGGCCCAGATAGCCGACTTTGTTCAATCGACGAGAGATCTTGGGGGGAGGGGGCAGCCACGTGGCGAGGAAGGGCCACTTTCGGGAGAGGGTGATGGGCCCACATGGGTTGATTGACGACGAGGAAGGGAAAGTCGGAGGAGGAGCAAAGAAGGACGAGGAGGAAAGGAGGAGGAGGAGAAGGAAGAAAGGAGGAGGAGGAGGAGGAAGAAAGAGGATGAACGTCTTTCTTCCTCCTTTCTTTCTCCTCCTCCTAGACCTCTCTTCGTTGCTTTTTTTTTCTTTTAAACGAAAGCAACTTCTGGTTCGTGTTTGCTGCTCTACGGTTGGTCGCGGCTATGGCCGCCTTTGTTCAATCGACGGGAGAATTGGGGGGGGGGAGTTCGACATGTGGAGAGGAGGAGGAGGAGGCAGACGAAAGAGGATGAACATCTTTCTTCCTCGTCCTCCTTTCTTTCTCCTCCTCCACCTTTCTTCGTTGCTTTTTTTTTTTTAATGAAAGCAACTTCTGGTTTGTGTTTGCTGGTCTATGGTTGGTCGCGGCTAGGCCGCCTTTGTTCAATCGACGGGAGACTTGGGGGGGGGGGGGGGGGGGCACTTGGCGAGAAAGGGCCACTTTCGGGGGAGGGTGATGGGCCCAGATGGGGTGATTGACGACGAGGAAGGGAAAGTCGGAGGAGGAGGAGAAAGATGAAAGGTGGAGGAGGAGGAGGAGGAGGAGCAAAGAAGGACGAGGAGGAGAGGAGGAGGAGGAGGAGGAGGAGCAAAGAAGGACAAGGAGGAGAGGAGGAGGAGGAGGAGAAGGAGGAGGAGGAGAAGGAAGAGAGGAGGAGGAGGAGGAGGAAGAAAGAGGATGAACGTCTTTCTTCCTCCTCCTCCTCCTCCTCTTCCTTTCGTTCTTCTTCTTCTTCTCATCATCCTCCTCGTTTCTTCGTTGCCTTTTTTTTTTTTTTTTTTAATGTCCGCAAGTTCTGGTTTGTGGTTGCTAGTGTACGATTGTTCGCGGCTATGGCTGCCTTTGTTCAATGGACGAGAGATTTTTTTTTTGGGGGGGGGGGGGGGCGCATGTGGCGAGAAAGGGCCACTCTCGGGGGAGGGTGATGCGCCCAGATGGGGCGATTGACGAGGAGGAAGGGAAAGTTGAGGAGGAGGAGGAGGAGCAAGGAAGGACGAGGAGGAGAGGAGGAGGACGAGGAGGTGAAGAAGAACGAAGAAAGGAGAAGGATGAGGAGTAAAGAAGGTCAAGGACGAGAGGAGGAGGAGGAGGAGGAGGACTCCTTTCTTTCTTCTTCTTCTTCTCCTCTAGCTCCAGCTTTCTTCGTTGCTTTTTTTTCTTTTTTCCAACTTCGGGTTCCTGGGTGTCGGTTTATGGTTGGTCACGGCCATGGGCGCCTTCATTCAATCGATGGGGGAGTGGATGGCGGGGCGGGCGTTCACTTGGCGAGAAAGGGCCACTTTCGGGGGAGGGTAACGAGGCGATTGACAGGGATTAAGACGAAAGGTGGAGGAGGGGGTGGAGAAGGAGAGAAGGACGAGAAGGAGAGAGGGAGGAGGAGGAGGTGGGAAGAAAGGCGGAGGAGGGGGAGGACGAGGAGGAGGAGGAGGACGCAGAGGACGAGGAGGACAAAGAAGAAAGTAAGAGGAGAGGGGGGGGGTGTTCACATGGCGAGACATGGCCACTTTCGAGGGAGGGTGATAGGGTGAGTGATGATGAAGAGGAAGACGAAGGAGGAGGCGGTGGCACAGGAGGAGGACGACGTAGAAGAAAGGAGGACAGAAGGGGGACGAAGAAAAGCGGAGTAGTAGGGGGAGGCAGGAAGGAGGAAGAAAGGCAGTTGTGGGGAAGAAAGTGCCCACTGAGGAGGAGGAAGAAAGTGCCCCTCCTCGACTTTTTTTCTGTTTGACCGTTGAACGTGTTTGGAGCTTCGTTTTACTTCGTTACTTTCTAACCATATGGCAAGAAGTGAGGGATTTTGAGGGAGGGGGATGGCCACATGGCAAGAAGTGAAGCATTTCGACAGAGGGTGATGGAGTCAATGTTGACGAAGAGAATGATGATGAAGAAGAAGGAGAAGGAATAAAGGGGGAAGAGGAGAAGAAGAAAGGAGGAAGAAAGGAGGAGGAGGAGGAGGAGGAGGATGACGACAAAGGATATGTAGAAGAGGTCTGAAGAAGAGACCTCCCTCCTCCTCCTTCGTCCTCTTTCATCTTTCTCCTCCTCCTTGACCTCTTCCTCTCTTCGTCCTCCTCCTCCTCCTGCCCCCCCCTTTCTTCCTCGTTGTGGAGGACACCTGCAAGTTCTTTTTTTTTTACCTTCTGCCATTTCTACTCGTGAGATACTGGATCGTCGTGGCTACAACCGCTATGGGACAATCGAGGGAGGGGAGGGGGTGAATGGAGTGAATAACGACGAAGAGAAAGGGGTTGAAGAAGGAACAGTCGGAGGAGGACGAGGGAGAACGTAGGAGGAGGAGGATGAGAAAAAAAAGGAAGAATGGAGGAGGACGACGAGGAGGAGGAGAAATGAAGAAAACGAATCTAAAGAATAAGAGGTCCAAAGAAATTGTTCTTTAGATCTTTCTCCTTCTCATTTGTCTTCTTCTTTCTTCCTCGTTTTTCTCCTCTTCCTCCTCCATTCTCCCTCTCCTTCTCCTTTCTTCCTTCTTCTTCTTCTCATGACTTCTTCTTCTTCCTCTTCTTCTTCCACTTCTTGTTTTTCCCCCGGTGTGGCAAAGGACCTGTGGCATCTGTTCTCCGCACTTGCAGCACCATCTTCCAGGTGGGGGCATCTGTTCTATTGCGTCCCCTGACAGTCCTCCTCTCGTTTCTTAATGCCGCAGTCCTCCTTTTTCTTCTTCTTTCTCGTTTCTTGACCTACACTCCTTCCTTCTTCTTTCTCCTTCTCCTTCTTTCTCCATCTTCTTTCTTCTTCCTCCTCCTTGTTCTTCTTCGTCTATCTCCTTAGATCATCATGGTGAGGCCGTGCGAGAGCAGCAGCAACGCAGGCAAGGAGAAAGTGAAGGCAGGTGCACCTAAAGATAAGCCACCGTTCGAGGCCCAACCAAATGAGAAGCATCAGGCGTTGCTGAAGGAGAACATCATGTATAAGTGGATAGTGCAAGGGCAGGCAGCGGAGCCGAAGGGGTACGACCTGTATTGGGTCCGCTGGAAGCTTTACAACCAGCAGTTCACGACGTCCTCTACCGGGGCGATGGAGCACTTCCTGCGGAAGGGGAAGCCGTGTCCATACAGGAATGGGGAGATCCTGCATCTAATGGCGCTAAGGGGAGGGAAGATTGAGGGGGAGGCTGCAAAGAAGATGCTCCATGAGTATCGTGCGCAAAAAGGGATTGCAGAGGACACTGGGATGGAGCCGACTGCTGCATGGCCAAGAGGCAAATCAGATGAGATGGAGGAGCATCTCAAGCCGCTGCCTCTGGTTGAAGGGCAAACAGCGGCAGGAATGACTGTTGACGACACACAAGACAAAACGGTCCCTCCAACAGTGGGCCCATCCTTCCAAGCCTCCACATCTGGGTCAATGTCGACAAGAACCACACAGATCTCGATCCGGAAGTGGGCCGAGAACACAACTCAAAAGAGGTCGGACACCCACTGGGGGAGGGCATTGTTCAGGTCTGGGGTCCCTTTCAATTTCGTCAGACAAGATGAGACACGCGCCCTCCATAAGTTGTACATGGAATTGGGGGCCACCAAGGCGAAGGTGGACATGCCGAAGTTTGAGACAGTCCGCACTGCCATTTTGGATCTTGTGTATGACCAGGTCAAGCAGGAAGTGCGACCCGTGATGGACAAGTGGGACATTTCAGGTTGCACACTCATCGCTGCCGACACAACTGATCGAAGACGGAGACCTGTCATCAATTTCATAGGCGCTGGGGAAGGAGGGGCAGTGCTGATCAAGGTGATAGACATGAGCCATAGGAAGACAAACGCGGCTGCCATTGCCCAGTTGTGGGAGGAGGTAATCCGGGAGATCGGGGTCCATAGGTTGAATGCCATTTGCACGGACAATGCACAAGTGAACAAGAGGGCAGCGAGGATCCTATCTCTCCACAAGGATCCTGACATTGCGAGGATCCCTTGGGTCCCCTGTGCTGCACACACCTTGAGTTTGCTGCTGAAGGGTATCGCGAAGCTCCCGTGGGTTGCGAAGATTGTGAAGAGGGCGAAGTTGATGGTCAAGTTGAGGAAACGAAGACCCTCATCATGCCCATAGAAGTGAGGTTCACATCAACATATCAAATGCTTGAGAGGCTGTGTGACAGGGATTAGGTGTTGAAGGAGATGATGGAGAGGGGTTGGAACAACATCCATTGGAGCACAAGGAAGCTGCAGCGAAAGGCGGATTTGATATTCCACACGGTTCGTTCCGGCGAATGGTGGATCGAGGTGCAGCAAATAGTAAGCATCATGCGGCTTGTGAACGAGTTGCTGCGCAGAATGGACCGCGACGGCGTCGCACCCTCACAATTGTGGGGGTTTGGGGAGCTTTTGGACAAGCGGTTGCGCACGATCCTCGGCCTTGCGGAGGAGCAGCGGCTGGACGTTATGGGGATCGTTTATGATCGATGCAAGATGATGAGGCAGCATGCACATGCTGCTAACTTCTTGCTGGCGCCCAAGGAGAGACCCTCGCTGGGTGCTGGACAAGGACAGTCCTCTGGTGCAAAATGCCATCAAGTACTTCCTGACACAGCTCGGAGGGGAGAGGTGGGGATCACATCAGTCCCACGTTAATGTATGGCAAAGCTTGTGGGCGTTTCATTGCGAGCCTCCTACGAAGGAGGATCGCGCGAAGGAGCCCATGTGGGATGACTTCGGTGTTGCAGACAACTGTCTCGATCACAAGACAACATCTTAGTGGTGGGCTTCCTATGGTGGGAACCACAAGGATCTGCAGAAGATTGCTACTCGCCTCACTGCCATGTGGAGCACGGCGACACCATCCAAGAGCGACCTCTTCCATACTAAGAGGAGGAAGAATCTCTCATCTGAGAGCTTGGCAAAGCTTGTGTACATACCCTTGAACATGCAACTCCATTGTATCCCGATGAGCATGAAGGACGGCTTCGTTGATGTTTGGGCATCTTTCTTTGATGAGCCGGAGGCTCCGCCCGCCAATGATCCTGCTGTTTTGGCACGACCCTTGGAGGTGGATGAGGAGGAGGTGCTGCGATAGGCAAGGTTGAGGAAGACCCCCAAGGGAAGGGTTCCCAAGGGTACGTCTTCAGAAGAATCAGACTCCTCATCAAGCGAAGAGGAGCTCATTTGGAGTGGGAAGAGGAAGGAACAACCGTGGCAATGGACAGAGAAGACGATGAGGTGGATGAGGTGGATGAGGAGGTGTATGGGGATGTTGATGATGATGATGACCCGGACTATGCGTTCTGCAGTCGCGGGAGCGGTGAGGAAAATTCGCACGACGGGCTACGTGGTGTTCATAACTCTCCAGGCACTGATATCGTGGACTTGGAGGCTGAGGGAGCCTCACATGATGAGCGGGAAAGGGCTGCGGCAAAGGCCCTTGCGCAAAGAGCCTGGGCAGAAGTAAAAAACACATCAAGGACAAAAATGCGAAGCGTTTGGCAGTGCCATGTCGAGCATGCCTTTCAGGGCTTAGTATGGCTCCACCAGTAGATCGGATCGTGGGCCGAGAGGAGAAGCAGCAGCAGAAAGAGCAGCAACAACAAGGGCAGCAGCAGCATGAGCAACACGAAGACCAGCAGCGGCACGAGGAGCAGCACGAAGAGCACCAGCAGCAGCAGCAAAAACAACAAGAGGAGGAGCAGCAGCAGCAAGAGAACCAGCAACTCGAAGCGCAGCAGCGGCAGCAGCAGCAGCAGCAAGAGGACAAGCAGTACCAAGTGGAGCAGCAGCGCCAGGAGCCACAACAGCAAGACGAAAGGGAGCAGCAGCAGCAGCGGCAAGACGACCGGGAGCAGCAGCAAGACGACCGGGGGCAGCAGCAGCAAGACAAGCAGCAACAGGAGCAGCAGCAAGAGGATCAGCAGAAGCAGCAGGAACAGCAACAACAGCTTAAGCTGCAGCAGCTGCAGCAGCCCTTGCAGCAGCAACCACAAGACATCAACCACAAGACATCCTGCATCAACCGCTCATCCTCCACCCCGCGAGTTGTCCTCCTCCATTTCCCCACTTGGACGAGAGGTTCGTCCATGACAACCTGGAGATCAGCAGGGCAGGGAGGACGCGGAAGACCGACATCGAACCTGCTGTTGATCCACCGGTGAAGCGTGGGAGGGGACGACCAAGGGAAACTGACACAAACACTGCAAAATATGTCCCCGCTGCACCACTTCCACCATCAACACGTCCAAGGTGCATGGGCGAACACGACAAAGAAGCGGCACAGTCGGGTCCTCGAGGACCAGTCGACCGCATCAGAGGACAGCAGCGACATGGAGGGGGACGACGAGTCGGACCCGGAATGGAGTTAGACGGAAGACTAGACGACCGACGCCTCTAGTTTTTCTCTTTCTCCGTGTCCTCCTTTCCTCTCCTTCAGTTTTTCTCTTTCTCTGTGTCCTCCTTTCCTCTCCTTCTTTCTTCGTCTTGTTCATCTTCTACTTCTTCTCCTTCTTCTTCATTTTGTTTTATCATCTTTTTCTTCTGCCTTGTCGTCGTTTGAGAACTTATACAAACGACTCGCACACTTGTGCATGCCAAGCTCGTACCTTGTGCTCTGCCCCTTTGTGTCGTACACTTTCCGAAGTTGAAGTAGTGTAGTTGACAGTTGTCTGTCATGGAAGTCAGGACCGGGGGCTGTTTAACATTTGAGTCTACTTCTGTTCTGTTTGAATCTTCGTTACGGATGATTGCATTGACGACAACTTGGAGCATTACTGCTGAGCTCGAAATTTGAATATTTGAATCTTTGTGGCTGTTGGTCTGGTCTTGTTAGTCGATCTCTTGTTGGAACTGGTTCCGCGTGCTGGAAATGGATCCGTTTTGTGCCTACTCCGTGGTTGATGACTTGCTGGCGTTGCTGCTGGGATTGCCCCTCTTTCAGGTTTGAGAAACTGGATGTGGAAACCATAACTATCTGGTTTCTAACTTTGTGTAAAACAGCGGTGGTTGTGTGCAGGTGACGGTTTGCCCCTCTTTCAGGTTTGAGAAACTGGTTGTGGAAACCATAACCATCTGGTTTCTAACTTTGTGTAAAACAGCGGTGGTTAGGTTGGTTTTTGCGGGTATTGGGGGCCGCTATGGGGTGTGGGTGGGGTTATTAGGGGTTCTGGATCCCAAAAAAAAAAAAAAAAAAAGTGCGGGGTGCCGATGATCCCCGACTGCTAGGTGCCAACCAGCCGGTCGGTCGGCAGGTCGGCAGCCGACCAGTCAAGGGCTGCCGACCGTCGGGGTGTGCAACTCTGCAGCTGTCCTTATAAAACTGAAGAGTGTTATTGCCCATTATGGGCCAGAACGTTTCCCAGAATTCCTTAGTAAGACCATCGATCCCTGGGGATTTGTCGTTTTTCATGCTGTGGACAGCTAGGCTACTGAACCCGATCAGCCGGGTGACCTGGGCCCGGGCGGCCCTGGCCTCCCGAACCGCCGCCAACATCCTTATTAACCCCCCCTAATATCCCCTATATCACCCCTATACTTCACCTATACTCCAACCCATACCTGCGGCATATCGCGTGCGCACGAGCTCCGCACGTGCGGCGCATAACGCACGTGTAAGCATGCACACGCACGTGATGCGACGCACCCCAATAAATAGGGTATAATTTTTTTTTTGGAGAAGGCTGGCTGAGGTAGCCAATGGTGCACCTTCCCACAGAAAAAAAAATAGGCCCCACGTATTCCTTGTTGAATAGTCTTTTTCACGGAGGACCCCGGCAGTACATATGCAAGGGTCCCAACATCTCAAGAGATGTTCAGCAAATTTCGTATGAAAGAGGAGAAGGCCAGCAATATATGTTCTGGATCCGAAGTCAGGTCTGCTTTCGAGCAGTTATGGGTTACAAGTTACAACTACTGACTACCGTAGCTCTCTCTTTCTTTTGTTTCTTTTTCCTACGAGCAGTGGCCTCAAGGGCCTTGCTCCACTCGTCACCAGCACAAAAGACAAAACATATGGCGGTGTATGGTTCCATGTTCTAGCAGAAGATTCATTCCTCTCTCTCTTTTGTTTCCTTTTCCTACGACAAGTGGCCCTAAGGGCCTTGCTTCACTCCTCACCACTTGCAAAAAAGATAAAACATATGGCGGCGTACGGTTCCATGTTCTAGCAGAAGATTCATTCTAGTTTTGCACATTTGTAGTGGAGGGAAGCCCTGAAAAGCACGTGGTGAATTGGCCTGCTACTACTGCCCAGAAACTCGCGTGCTCAGTGGTCCCATATACGTGCCATGACTTCGGCATGGCTATGACTACTATCCCGTTCATGGCACCGTGGCCCTTGCTGATTATGTGCAGGGCCCTCTCGGATAACCCGCAGGGGGTTTGAAATAAATATTAAGGAGCTATTTGTTTACATTTTTCTCCCTCTCTCTCTCTCTCTCTCTCTCTCTCTCTCTCTCTCTCTCTCTCTTGCGTGTTCTCACACATAACGGCCGATTTATTTATTTATTCTTATTTTTTTATTTTTTTGGCGCATCGGTGACCAGCACACTTGCGCCGCAGGTATGCTCCAACCCCAACCCCCCATACCCCTCCCCCATCCCAAAAAGTTTCTCTGCGGATTTGGGCTGTACTCAGCAAGCGCAGTAAGGCTGAGCAATCAGAAAAAAAAAAAAGCAGTGGATGCCTGTTTTCTGACTGGTCGGCGGACCGCCAACCGGTCGACCCCGATCGGTCGGAACAAAACAGTCGGCGGTCGGGGTCGGCGGTCAGCGCCGGTGCAACCCTGGACAGCTAAGAAAAAGGGGGGGATGGGAGAATATTTGAGTAGCAGCGTGGCGACCCTACTGTATAAGAAGGGGGACAGGGAGGACATCCGTAACTATAGACCAATCTCCCTCCTTACCCTACCCTACAAAATTCTGGTGAAAGCATTAGCATTCAGAATACTGGACCTCACAGATAAATGCTTTGACATAGATCAAGCTGGTTTCATCCCAGGCAGATATATACTAGACAATGTCTTAACTCTTAACGAGGCAGCAAGAAAAGTCAAAGAGAAGAGGATGAATATAGCTATCCTGTTCTTTGATTTTGAAAAAGCTTACGACCAAGTTAATTGGACCTTTCTCAATGCGAGCATGGAAAAAATGGGGGTGGGACCTGTATTCAGGACATGGATCAGGATCTTGTACAATGATGCTTTAGGATATGTACAAGTGAATGGACTTATTTCCGAACGTTATCCGATCTCCCGGTCAATCCGTCAAGGAGCCCCACCGATCTTCCTTTGCGTCATGGAAGCGATTGCCTCCTTCCAACGCAAAGACCTCCTCAATCCAAAGGTTGGCAGACCTCAATACCGGTACCCCTCACCACATCCAATTCCCAATAGTGATAATGTTTGCAGACGATCTCACGGTTCTCATAAGGGCATCTGACTCCTCCATAAGAGGGAGGAACTAGACTCTTAGCAGTACCCAACAACCTGCACAGTCAATCCTCTGGAGATAGAGTAATCAATGCTGGCAGCGTCCTCCTCAATCTTCTTGAAAAACGGAATTGGCAGTTGGGACTGAGGCTGATAGGGGGAGGGAGGAACTAGTGTGTAGCTGCAAGAATCTGGCGCACGGTTCTGGCCGAAGAGGTTCTCCCCCTCTCCCCTTTTTTTTCCATGCCCTGCTCAGTCAATCCCCTGGTTTTCCAGGGCAATCAATGCTGGCAGGAACTCCCAAAATTGTTTCTCTAAGGTACTTTCAGTCTGTAAATGGGACGCTGGACCCGCTTTCCGGCAGGTGATGCTCCCCACCAATAGATGGAGCCTCTCCCCAGGTGTTAGTGGTGTCTGCTCTTACCAGCACCACTAACACTGGTGGGGGAGTTAATGGGAAAAAAAAAAAAAAAAAAAAAAAAAAAAAAAAAAAAAAAAAAAACCAGAAATGTGATGGAGTATTTCAGGTGTTTTTTTTTTCGTATTTCAGTTTTGTTCCTTTCGGATGATAAAAAAAAAGATTTGATTTTCTCTTTCACTTTCTCCCATTGAGTTGTGCTGTGACTGACGTCCTTTTGGTTTGTTGCTGTATTGATTCAGTAAACTCTGGGCCATCAAGACGAGCCCCTCTCATTGCGTGTGTATGTCGACGGCGCCATAGTCGCCCAAAAATTTGCCCTTCTCCCTATTGTCCCTATTGTCCAGAGAGTTTGAGCGAATGTCTCCGTTACTTTGGGAGGATTCCTAGTTTCACACAGCAAAGCCTTCCAGTCCCATGGCCATGGGCCCATGGCAGTGATGTACTTAAACTAGATCCAGATCCTATCCCACCACCTCCAAACCACTCTGCTCCTGGGCATCCCTCTTTTGCCCCCGGGGCTACCCCTTTCACTGTAGGCATGTATGCTCCATAATTTTCAGAATCTTTCGTGGAGGAAATGCTGTAGAGCAAAACTTGCACCGTGGTATGGCTACCCGCTTTTGCTCAAGTGAGGCTCTATCAATAATCCACTCGTTAGTCGTACAAGTAGGTTAATACTAAATAGAGAATACTAAACAGGGATGATCTACCTGCCATTGTACAGAAGCAATCTTGGCCGGTTTGGATTTAATAGTTTTCAACCCCTCGATACGTTTGAGGGCTTTCCTTGCTAACACATTTAATTGGTGCATCCGGCGGCTCTTGACTTCGTCTCTCACGTTCACTTTGGTTCTCGACGTCCGATAAGTAGACTTAAACCACCAGTACCACCCCCTGGGGGTCTTAGGCCCCCTCTGGGGAGGCTCTGATGCAAATGCATATGGACACACGCGGTGCACCGATTCAGCCACCGCGTTAACTGCCTAAGAATGTGGAGGTACTGGTGGTTTCCCTAACCCTTATAAAGGATACAGCGGTCCCAGCGACAGACGCCGGCGCGGGCCCACGAGAAACTGTGGCAAGGGCCCGTCGTCTGGTGTGCCAGCGAGGGAAAGGGACAGGACTGATGTGGAGGGACGCGGGTGCAAAAACGAAGCGGCGCGGGAGGGACAGGACCGCAAGCAGCGTGGACAGGACTGACGCTGACCGATGCTGGTGCATAAAAGACACGGTCGAGGGGCTGGACGTCAGAAACTGTATTGCCTGAAAAGTCCGCTCGCGCACTGAGACGAAATGATGCGGGGCCGCATTCGAAAAGGCCAGCGAGGGGTGTGTGCAGGTGAGTAGTGTATATTTCGATGTTCCAGCGGAGGATTTATTCGATTTGTGTGTGTGTGTGTGTGTGTGTGTGTGTGTGT